GGCCTAATCTGTGGGATCTAATCGGTCTGTTGGAGGTAATTGGCAGGAGGCGGTCTCTCAGGTACCCAGGTCTGATTTCATGTAGGGCTTTATAGGTAGCGAACAGCACCTTGAAGCGGATTCGGAGACTAATGGGTAGCCAGTGCAGCTCGCGGAGGATAGGTGTGACGTGGGTGTACCTAGGTGCACCCACAATCGCTCGCGCGGCTGCGTTCTGGACTAACTGAAGTCTTCCAACACTCTTCAAGGGCAGCCCCATGTAGAGCGCATTTTTACAATGTTGTTTTAATCGAGCTTTTTGGAGACTAATATATATATATTATATATATATTAGTATATTATATATATATATATGCCTTCTATTTTTTTCTCCCTTCCACACAGCTTCTAGCAAAGGACATTCGGCACGAAAGGAACGTGATTCTGCAGTGTATCCGCTATATCTTGCAGAACGACGGCCTGGGATTTCATTTAGGAGGTCATTCAGACGCTCCATCGGACAGCCAGCCAACTCCTGAGCACGTACAGAGGTCTGCGGCGGATGAACCTCGCCAATTAACCAACCCTCTCGACTTTGACCCGAACAAAACACGACAGCACGAAGTATTTCGAAGCGAGGAAGTCTCTGCATTTCCTGCTGTGGATGAAGATATTTGGGAATCTACAGAGACCAATTCTGAAGACAACTAATCTCTCTCTTGGGTTTTTTTAACCTATGCGTGGGTGACCATTATCCATCCATCTTTGGGTGCTTGCGGAAACTCCTCAGACTGTCCATCGCACCCAAAGGATTTGCCTACGTTTAAATTAACTCTTTTTGATGAACAACTAAAACTCAGCTAGGCCTTGTGACGTTAACGATCTTGCAATATTGTCCTTCAGGGATTCATTTTTTACTTACTGTTAAGTGTGAATAAAAATCATATTAATTCTGTTTTATTCACCTTTTATGTCAGGGGTGGTCATAAGGTGTGCTCAAAAGTCAGAGTAGCAGCCACGTTGTAAGCTCTGCCTATATTTTACGGGTGTTGCCCTCGACATAACTTCTCTGCCCTGCTTTTAGAATTACCGACTTCCAAAATACCAGCAGTTTCACGTTACACTAAAAATCTTTTATCAGCAACAAACTTTACTTATTCAAAGAAAAACATATACAAGAGAAAGGCTTGGGAAACTACTTTTCTGTACTTTAGCTTGAAAATTAACAGGCACATTCTGCAAGTGGTTTGAGTTTTAACGTTTGTTGTCACTTTATTCTCATTCCTGTGATGGAAAATTTTCATCAGGGAACAAAAACAAGCAGTTAACTGTTTTATCTGCTCAGATTAGAGTGTGTTGATCAGGCAGTGTGTTCCCTGCCCACCCATTATGCTCTGGTTTTAAAGTTGCAACACATGCAATAAACTGTTTGGAATGAGAGTATGCAGGATAAGAAAATAAAAATGAACTTGGGTCCCCTCTTAAATATTTGGACAGAGATCTTCAAGACTATTCTGAGTGTGAAGGGTCTTGCATTCGAATAAAAGGCTGCCACAAATAATTCTAAACTGAGTGGGACATAACACAGCACATAAGGTTGAATTTTTGGGAGTTACTGCTGTACTTTGATGGGTTTTTTTTTTATAAATTGTGAATTTTTAGCTTGATATTCAGGGTACTTTTTGTAGAAAAATGGAAACAAACCTCAAGTGCAATCCAGTGTTTAAAGCACACACACACGTGTGTGTGTGTGTGTATGTATGTATGTATGTCACACTCGTCATCTTCAGGCTGGTGCATTTGGCTTCATGCTTGTGCGAGCAAAGCGTGATCGGAGCTGCCGTTTTTCTATAAATATAGGTGGGTGGGTGTGGAATGTGGCTTTGTTACTTTAAAATTCTCCACAAACACAATATCAAGACAGCCTTCAACACTGACCAAAAAAATAGCCAACATCTTCAGAAACTGCAAAGACAAGATCCAGCTAGAAAACCAAGGAGTCCACAAAACACCAGGCAAAATCTGCCCTGCCACATACATAGGCCAAGCTAACAGGAGAATAAATACACGCATCGTAAGAAAAAAAGAAAAAACTTCCTCCCTTTTCCAGCACCTTAAAGCTACAGGACATTAAATTGATTTTGAAGGAACCGGGTTAATCTCCAAAACTGAACACTTCAACAAGAAGCATTTGTGGGAAGCATTTCCAATCCCAACTTTGTCCTTTATTCTTTCAACTAGTGTTTTAAAAAAATAAGCAAGGTAAAGCTGTCCTTTGGGAGTGGGGAGGGAGGGAGGAATCTCTTTTTCACCCTAATTATACATTTACATGAATCGGAAAGGGCTTAAAACCAGGAAAGAAGGTGATTGCTTTTGTTACTTGAAGTGTGTGCCATTTTTCCTTTTCTGCTCCCAGATCTTCA